CCTTAATACAGCTGCACCTCATCATGAAAGTAACTGGCAAAATAAATATAATAAAGCTCGAGATTACCTCTCCTATAAAATTATTAATCCGGAACTAGGGGAAGAAATAATTAAGACATCAAATAAAGTGATAGTAGAAAAAACTTCCAAAAAAATAAATAAAGAACATAAGGATTCAGCAATTGAAGTCATTAAATCAACTACTACACCAGAAACTGTCAAAGCTATTTCAGTTCAAAAAGAAGATGACCAAATTGAATTGAGCGAAGCTATCTTAAAAGAATTAGATCTCCCCTCTACTCAAACTCTAGTAACCACTGTTCAAACATATACCAAAAATGAAAAACTTAAAAAACCCGAATTAGCCTCATGGTGGTCCACTGCCATTAATCTCAGCTATCTCAAAAATGCAGCATCCCAGCACGAAGGCGAATGGAGGGAGAAATACGATAAAGCCCGAGAATATCTCTCCGCCCAAATTGGTGATACCGAAACAGAAAACGAATTATTAGAAATCTCTGATAAATATGTAGTTGATAAAGCATCACATAAAGTTATCGAGGAACACAAGCAGGAAGTAATTGATATTAAAAAGGAAGAAGAACCACCCTCTATTTTAACTAAAGTTGGTGAAACTTTATTAGGAACCGCCTCAGCTGTTGGCACTACTGTTCTAACTGCCACTACTTATGAAGAAAAAAAGAAACCCGAAGAAAAAAAGAAACCGGAACAAAAAGAAGAAAAGAAAATTGAACTTGAGGAAAAGGAAACTAAATTAGAAAGTACACAAAGCATTTTTAGCGGTCTCACTGGTGGATTGACTAGTATATATAAATCAGCCGCTGGAATAACCAGTGATCTCGGAAAACATATCGAGGAAGCTACCTTTGATACTGATGAACGTGATCATCAAGAAAAAGCAGCAGCACTAATTGTAGTGCGATCAAAAACCACACTCGAAAAAACTAAATCTATTACCACAACTCAAAAAGATAACGGATGCTTTGAATTGAATGAAAATATTATCAAGGAATTTCATGTTTCTACAGTCCCTAAAACCGAAGTTATAACAACAGTACGAAAATATACCACCAATGAGAAATTAAAGAAACCCGAATCATTTGAATGGTGGTCAACAGCCCTGACTCTTTCATATCTCAAAAATGCCGCTTCTCAACACGAAGGAGAATGGAAAGAAAAATATGATAAAGCACAAAAATATCTTTCTGAACAAATCGGTGACGATGAAACCAAGAAAGAATTATTAGACTGTACTGACAAATACGTTGTAGACAATATTACCAAAAAAGTTATTGTGGAGAAAAAGAAAATCGCTGTTGTTGCAACCCAATCTGCTACAACACCCGAAACTATTGAGACTGTCACTTCCACTCAAAAGCAAGATGATTCAGATGATACAGATGATTCGGATGATGATTTAGATGAAATGGATAAAAAATATTTAACCCAAAAATATGATTTTACACATTTAGGTAAATTGAATTTAGATTTTATTATTGAGTATTTATTTATATGATTTATTATTTATACAATTTATTATTTATATATGACTTACTATTTATATGAATTATTTTTTAGATTTGGCTGAACTTTTACGAGCAAGAGAAAGAGAAAGGACTGGCACAAAGCAATGATGAAGAGAATATTTAAATTTAAAATATATTATTATTTATTAATTTTTATTATTTGTTTATTATTATTTATTTATTATTTTTTGTATTTTTATTTAACATAATTATTTGCCTTGTACAATATTCCAAATTATCTCTTAGTTGATTCATTGTAAATAAAATATTTTATTTATATTTAACAATTACAAAATATCCATTTTTACTTCGATCGCGGAAATATTTTTTTGTAAGATTATATTTCATTTGATTAATCTTAGTCTGGGATAGGTGAGGTCTAAAATCAGAACGTTATCGTAACTAATGTAACTGCAGCCAGCTTTGAGAAAAATGTTCACCGTCTAGCTGCAGATCAAGGACCCTCCTCCAGAAGAAGATTTATTAAATATTTAAACTTGAATTATCAATCATCAGCCTTGATGATTGTAATATTATGATATATCCCACAGAGACTAATTCTAATGATTAAAAAAAAAAAGAGAGATAAATTATTTTGAGTTTTAAATAGTATAAATTAATTATTCGCAAAAAGATATTCGTGATTAAAAAATATCCCATGAAATTTTACAGTCTTTGAAAATATCACCAAATTATCAAGAGCGAGACGTGGGATAAATTAAAAATATTAATATTATATTTTCTTTCATTATAGCATGGGATTCAAAGACTTTATCTAAGATATGTAAAGATAATAATTAAAGATTTAAAATAATGTTTCTATGATACTGAAGGTGACTGCATTTTTCTTGAAAATTTACTTTTTAACAACATCAAACTATATCACATGGAAGTATAATTTAGAAGATATATATTAAATAATATCAGAGAGCAACTTTACTATAGGGTCCGGAGTTCTATTAAAGGTGGGATGCTATATTTATGTAGGTATCTTAAACTATATTAATATATATTCTATATATTCTTTTTTTTAACATAATTTGTTTAATATAATTATTGGAAGCTGTTAGATATTCACTCTTGATCTCGTAAGATTTTTATTATTAGGAAAGTTATTAAAGATTCGATGTGAGGAAAATATACCAGGAAGACTATAGAAAAGATCAAAGTGGTTTCTCTATTCTAAAAGTAAGTGAAATAAAGGTAAGTGAAACCAATTTTGACTACGACTGCATGATCTGCGCGAGAGAGAATTTATTTATTAGTGCTCTTTAAATTACTCATTAATTACTATAGAATACTTGTTTTTTATTTAATTCAAGAATAAAAATACATCATTTAGCACATACAGTATATAACTTAATTATATAATGTATTTGTTAAAAATTAAAATAAAAAACTAAAATATAGGCAAATAAAATACTTTTTTTCGTCACCTCTATGAACATTTTTTGAATGAAAATAACGTTATTATGTTATTTCCACTTAATTTAGGTTAACATAATTTAGGTTATGAAAAGGCTACATCATAATTCTGGCTACACTCCTCGTTTTTAATTTCAGGACTTCGAGGTAGTGATTAGAACTGAATTAGGTCTTATCCGAGTAGAATTTTTTGACCTGGTTAAATAAAAGGTACTGTAGGTATACACCCCGTAGTGTTATCTGTTCATCTAATTTGTTATACAGATTTATCTTGATTAAATGATCTGTTAAAAAAAATTTTTATTATGAATAATTTTATAGAACTTACTGAATTTAATAATACATTTTATGGATCAGATAATGCTAAATGAAATATCCAAAGATTTGTCAAAAAGAATCAATTATATCAATATTTAATACACGAAAAATGATCAGGATAATTATAAAATTTATCCATGTAAAATCTTTATACCCGTACATAATATATTGCTACCCGGTTGACCTGTGACCAGGGTAATGTTTTTAGAGACAGGTCCAGTCACTACTTGAGGTTCAATTTAGTGGTTTATATATTTCAAAATCTGAAATAAGTATGGTCGCTCCATTTTTCATTTTTTTGACGCTTTGGTCCATCCATTAGAAAAATTTGACAATTATTATTACTTGATCTTTTCCTTTTTTCTTTTATCATTTGAAGATGCCATCAAAAATATTTTAAAATAAAATTATTAGTTTCAAAGTACCGAGTCGATCGAATTCCAATAAACCTAATCAAACAATTTCTTCACAAGATTCAAAATCAAATATAAATCCATCCCCTATGTGTAATAATATCAAAAGAGAGAGAATATGACAGAAAAAAAGGCCAAATTACATGAATAACTCACCTTGTGTAGAATGAAATTTCTTGTACAAGTCATTGTGATTATATGAGAAAGGCAAATGAACTCGAGAGGTATTTCTAATTGAAAGTTTTGTATTTAAGATTTTTCTGATAGTAACATAATTAGGAATCAATTGATTTTCTAATTGATGTTTAGAAAAAATTTAGGTTCAAGTATTTGATTATAGAGAAAAATCTTTTCTACCACATCTTCATTGGAAAAACTAAACTTCTAATGTGTAGGAGGCATCCTTTCAAAAGTTTCCTTTAAAGTTAACTTGTCCACTCATTGAGATTGGTAGGTACAGTAAAAGTGTAATTTTTTTGTTTTTCCCTATTAAATTATATATTCCAAAAGTTTACCTTATTCTAATTGTTTGATAATAGAAATTAATGAATCGCCAGGGAGAGAATAAATTTAAAATAGTATTAGGATGTTAGTCTAGAATAATTTCAAAGTTTTGTGACTTTGATAACTTTTTCGATAAACTAGAGTCTTAATCATGATCATCTAATTCAAAAGATTCAAGTCAAAAAATGTTTAATAATATATTTTCTATAATATTTTAACTTAGTAATGACATCAAATACTTTAGTAAAAATATTCATCAATTTTAATTTAACGCTAAATTTCTTTTTAAGTAAAGGCTACGGGATTAAAATAGTCAAATGAGATTTATAAATATTGCCAACTTCAATTGATACATCATAATTAACGCCATTTGAGTAAGGTCGTTTGAAAGTACACCTAATTTAATTTAAGTTTTTAAATCAATTTTTAGTGTAATGTTCAGTTTTATTTGTGGAAAAAAATTAAAATTTATGTAGTAAAAAAAGGGTACCAAATATTTTTTTTTTTAAAAAAAGTATATAATCTTTTTAATTTATTTATATAACTCATATTTAAATGAGATTTTATAATATAAATTTTAAAAATAATAATGAATATTAATTAATTTGATGAATAACGAATAATGAATTTTATACAAACGAAACTATAAAAACTATAAAAAATGAATAATATTTATTACATAATTTTTATAAATAAAATGAAAAATGAATACTATGTTATTTATTTGGTGAAATTTTAAAAACCTCATATTCTTCAACTGAAAATGAAGAGTTATCGAATATTGGCGTAGGATATGCTCGGTTGGACTTGCAATAACATCTTTTCGCAGTCTTCAAATTGCCAATTAAACGTAAAGCATCACCAAAACCAAACTGTAAATTCTGTGGATAATTATAAATGACATCTTGACTCTTCCTCGCCCTACTTAAAATGGAATTTTTCATATTTGCAGTCTTTAATGAAAATACGAAGCTATTATCGGAATTCATCCAATCGCAAATTCGGCATAAATAGTACAAAGACATCCTATTTTGTGATCACTAATAATCTATTGCCTCAATTTAGTATGAGATGTAAAGAACCAATGTCATGGATTGTTGATGCTGGATTTTAATCTATAAAAACATGTCGAAATTGCTGGAGTCTCGGGTAAGGGATTGAGTCATACCAAACATCAAAATCAATAATTATCAATTTATCAATCGCAAAACAAATAACTATGAAAAAAAAAATGCAACTTAACATTTCCAATATTTTTTTATTTGCGATTTTCATCGCCGTAATCATGCTCTATGAAGCATATAATCGGAGCGTCTTAACAATGGAGATGATTTATTCCGTTATCCCGGAAAATACAATATTCTATGTAATTATCGCAGTAGTATTTATTTATCTATGAAAAACTGTGACTCCAACTCCAATTCCTGCTACATTAGATGCAATTATAAAAGAATTACAACGAGATAATTTAGCTCTGAAAAACGATTTTGCTCAAATGGAATGGAGATCTGAAGCCCGGAGTAGAGGTTTGTAAAACAACTAAAATTTATATGATATTATTTATGGAATAAATTATTTAACCGCATTATTCCTAATTAGGGCAAGCATCTATACAAAGTCTATCATTAATAAAGTAATTATTTTTATATTTTATTTCTCTGCTTCGTTAAGTGTTAATAATTGAGTGTAAAACCTAGGGGTGAGATTAAAACATAAGATTGCAATTTCTATCACGTGATGTATAATTGTACATAAATCCCATTGCCAAATCAAAATTAATCATCTTTGTTTTTGTTATTTGAAAGTTAACGAAATTAACGAAATCGAAATCAAAGGCAAGTTTTTGTTTTTCAGTCTTAGACAGAACAAGATTTGTGTATAATTTATGAGGTACTCTTCCACTCTAAATATTGGTGTTGAACGGAACCTTGGGGTTGCTATTATGGCAATGCGCCTAAAATTATACAGGTGCCACGTTTCCGCTTCAAGTTATCTTGTTGCCTTAGGGATACAATTAGGGGGTACTCTTCCACATTTTTGTGTCGAACGGAACCCTGAGTGTCATTTCTTTTGACGACTCTAACTTGTATAGTGACAACCAAGCAAATCTATACAAATCAAATAATATTAAAACTTTTTATTAACGTCTCAATTATTTCTGTTATCTAGTAAGCTTGTTGATCCGAAAATTTCGACACGGTATGCTTTTTTTGAATACATAATTTTCGCATTCTCGGCGCACGCACTAAATTATATTTATTAATTAGTCTTTTCTTGAAACGAACAGAAATACATAATCTGCAACAAACTGAGTAGGCCCACCGAGTACCTTTTTTGCAGCTACGAGGGTATAATTAATTTCATATTTGCATTGCAGAAAAAACATAAGGTCGAGACCTTGCAAAATGCGAGCGACCAAGTCTTGAATTTTCAAGAAAAATTAACTGAAGAAATGAGAAAGGAGCCTTTATTGGAATCTACAGCTGTACTTGATGAGGGTAATGACGGACAAAGTGTAAAAGACTATTATGAACCATCAGGTTCTGCTAACGAAAGGAAGATAACCAATCCCTTTTTTTCGGTAAGTTCTTGATATAAAGCAATGGCGAGGTCTCGATGATGATGACAAAGATTTTGAGAATTAGCAGAGCTAATTATTTTGCATTTTAATCCTTTAGGACGATGAGGGACAGGTGACCGTTGTTATAAAGAAACGAAGAAAAAGAAATTACCATTCTGGAATAAGGTTAGGATATAATTTAATTTTTATCTCTAACTTTTTACAAGAGGTAAATCGAATTAATTTTTTTAGGGGAATATATTGCCTGACGGTACCGAAATTGAAAAACCGACCCCTCTAAATTTAATACCATCGGATGACGATGAGGATGATGATTTCTCTCAAGAAACTGATGGCGATGATGATGAAGGTATACCTCCAGAAGAATCGTTTACCTCAACCACTGCCTCCGACAGCTCAAGAATTTGGATCTTGCCTTCGGGTCAGAACGTTGGTGAAATCTATGCTAACAAGATATCTGAAAATTCAAGAGTGACCAAAAAAAAAGAAGAAATTAACAGCCACTGAAAAAGCCATATTGCGCTATGGTGCATCGAATATAATTGATTTATCTGCTCACATGAGTTGGTTTTGTGTCGATGATAAGAAGTTCATCGTGAAAAATTACAAATCTATGTTACGAATTCCTGAACTGGCAGTCGAAGAGAAATCATTTGTTTTGAAAATCGAGAATGTACGAGTTTTTATTTTCATAAATTTAACTTGTCTGTCTATATTTATACATATCATTCATTCTTCCTTGTAGATGGTACATGAAGGGAAAGTGAATCAGGCGTATAAATACTGTATGGAAATTCATATTAAGTCAGAAGAAAACAGTTATTTATATAAGATCAGTAAAATAACGGTGACTTGTGAGTTATTTAATTCTACCTAATCTTTATTTTTTTGTGAACATAATTCTTATTATTCAATGTATGCAGCATTTACAAAAGCAAGAACCAAGTGGATATCTTGGATTTTGATTCAAAAAGTACACACACTGAAATCGATGTTATTTTAAAAACCTGCACATATATTGTCGAGGGATTGAGCAAAAAAATCTAAAAATATATTCGAGATGGTTGGTATAAATATTATTTGGTCTGTGATCCATACAATGTAACCATTTTAAAATTTAAAATTTATACATTCAAGGGGAGAATCCTTTTGCCGTTAAGTAGGAGTGTGGACCATAAGAATGGACGTAAATGTGATGTTCAATTTTTATCAATTTCAGGAGTGGATCTTGGAGAGTGGGAGTATTCTGTAAAGGCTGTTGCAACCAAGACCATTGGTGATAGATGCCGTTCCGCTCGAATCAATCAATCAATTTTAAACGGATTACTACAATATAATCTCAATGATGAACAAGTTAAGGGTATCCAAGTGCCTTTTTTGCAGTTTGGTGGCACAAGCGGACAATTGTTAATTGAAGATCTAATGGAAGGATTTTACATTTTTTTCCCGGACCCAGGTTAGAATTACCTACAAAACTTCGGGATATTGAAAACTGAAGACTTCTATCAGTGTCATCAAGTCAGTCATGGTAAGTTTATGATTCCATTCCCGTTATCAGAAAAATTTGTATCACTAATTTATTTTAACACGTTGTGTAGGATATGTATAAAAAAACATGTGAGACCATAGAAAATTTAGAAACAACGCGTCATGAATTTGATGAAATTTTTAGTGAGGATGATATAGTTGATACAACCAAACCCACCCATTATAAATATAAATGTATTTGTAAACCGTGGTGGACTCCGAAAAGTAAAAAGTCAAAATAGATAACGGAAATTCTTTTTGTTATAAAATCATATTTAGTTCGGGGTCAGAAAACTTAAAAACATGAATATGTATTTAGTTACATATTAATTTAGCAATGGCCGAAGTGCTTTATTAAAAATATATAAAAGACGAAATTATGAAGACTGCGTCGCAGATCACATCACCTGACCGTAGGATACATTTTGGTGATTTATGCATGTGACGTAAGCCCCAAGGGAGCAGCTCCATGTGATCGTGGAAAAATGTTTTTGTATCAGCTTTACTAATTATTTATCGCAATAGTTATTTCACGAATCCGTGCATGTGATACATTATATTTTTTAGCTAGATTCAGTAATGCATTTGCTGTAACCCGCCTTCTCGTGAGATTGAAATCTAATAAAAAAAGTTAGATCACCCGTTGTGTTACCATTTAAATTTAGTAAACTTTTTTATGGTTGCCGAAAAAAGATAATTTTCGCAGGATCCTGTCTGTGCATACCAATCCATTTTTGGTAGAAATGATTTAAATTTTAATAAATTAATGAATTCAAAAAAAATTAACTATTCAGAGAAAAGGGGTATGTTTGCATCATTTTCATGTACAAAATTTCTAAAAAAAGTAATAATTTTTCATGGGCTTGAATGCATACAAATGGCATTTTTCGGATGCCTCAGACATTGTTTATCCATATATATGACCTAAAAGAGGCTAATCAGTTGCCCGAATAAAAAAATTAAAATATAGTGAATATAAATTAACTTCCATTGACTACTGTGTTCACAAAAAAAAACATGTCAAAAAAAAATCGGTTTTTCGGCAATTACATAGCGATAAGTTCAGACTGTCAACAAATTGTTACTTTTAATCCAGGTAAAGTTTATTATTACTCATTTATGTCAGTTATTTCTTTTTATCTTTAATAATTTTTTAATAATCTTTAATAAATTTTTAATAAATTATTAATAATTCATAAAATAATAGTGACACACGAATTTAAGTTATATGATATTGATAATTTAAGTTCGAGCAAACGCACTTTTACACTTAAATGTGGGGTTAATGGTAAACACCTTTGCTGGTCTATAGCAATATCTAATTGTATAGACAGTAGTGTAAATGAACGTTTTATAGCACTATCTTGTTTTGAAGCAAGCGAATTCGGTCATTATGAAATATATGATGAGGACGAAAATGACTTAGATAAAAGCCAATATGACATAGAATCTAGCGATAAAGTTAAAAGAAACCAATATGACTTAGAATTTGACGACAAAGTTAATTACCAATATGATGATGACGATATAGACTTAGAATCAGGCGATAAATACCTTCGTCCTCCTCAAACATGGGTTATCTCTACTGCAGATGGGAGTGAAATATATACTTCTTTAGAATATGGTGTTATAAGATTTCTTGAATGTGATTACGGCGATAGTGATGATAATGACAATGATGATAGTGGTAGTGATGACGGTGATTATAATGATAATGGTCAACCGTTAAAATTAAAAAACAAACTAGCAATTGTTATAGTTAATGTGTGGAGGATTTTTAAAGAAATTATAAAGAATAAAAAGAAAACAAAGGCTAAAAAATTTAAATTTTCCCAACAAGTTTCATTTCGACTTTTACGAAATCATTGGCAAAATTCATTAGAGCTCTTACGCACAAGTATCATCAAAAATCATTTTATGATACATTCTTTTAAAGATCGACAACAATTCATTGAAATGTATAGTTTAATTACTGGCAATCTAGAGATGTTATTTAAGCGTCATGAATCTTTGGAAGCCCCCGATATAATTCATGGTTCTCCCATCTTTTCCATCTCTCAAAATGAAAAGATTTTAGCATTTTGTCGGGGAACTGCTAGCATTACATTATACTTTATGGAAAATGGATTGGAAATCGTTACAAAACAATTAGAAAGTCAAAGAGGAATTTATAAAATTGTTGCTATAAATTTTATTGATGATGATAGTAAACTTTTAATAGTTCTTGAAGAAAAAGAAGATCGAAGTCGTAAAATTTCTAAGAATCAAATATTTGTAATATGGGATTTATTTACTACATTTAAAAATTCAATACGTCAAATTGATTATTCTGAAAACAATAAACCTCTAAAAATGGATGTCACGCATAGATTAATGAATACACATGGAAATATGTTTGCAGTTAGAGATAATGGAGAGATTTTTTCAGTTTTAAATCATCCAGATGTGGCTTTAATTAGAAATCCTTCAGTGAAGGCAATGACTAAAATTAATATTATTACGAAGGATCACATATATCATGCAATTTATAATATCGATGGGGAAAGATTTGACGCATCAAAATTAGAAAAGCATCAAATAATTATAAAAAATGTTGAACCATGGCACCCTGGAAAAAATTATTCTCGAATATCAGTTTACTTGGATTCTACTGAAAGTACTCAATTAATTATTTCAAGTAACACTATACAAGTATGGAAATATCGTAATAATAATACTATAGAAAAACGAGATAAACGTCGTGATCGAGTATTAGAATATATCTGGGCTCAAAATAAAGCGATGCATGTTCAAGAACTAAGAATTGGAAAACGAGAATTTATGTTAAAGATCTTAGTACCTTCAACTAAACGTCTCACACCAGAAACAATGACAATACATTGGCCAAATAATGTAAATGTTCTTGAAGGGGCATGTCGAGCCCTTTATCTATTAGGAGAGAAGAAACACATTGTAGCAGGTTATGAAAATGTTAATAAAATTAAATATTTGGTTGAATGTACACAAAGATTAGTACGAAAATATATTACAAAATATGGAATATTTAGATTAACAAGTATTAGATATCCAATTATGGAATGTCTTATCAAAAGTTTTCAAGAAAGTCTAATAAGACATATTTTATTTAAGAAAATTAATAAAAAAAATAGTAATATATACATACCAAGATTATATAAATGGCCAGATGAAGATAATACTAGATCAACAAATGAAATATCAAAGTCAGATTTACATCATGCTATTTTATGTACTCTAAGAAGAGAAAATTCTCCAGTAATTTTAAAATATTTAATAGATTATTATGCTAATAATGCTAAAGAATATAATAATTATGGTTGGATGTTTACAGTAAGCAAGGCAATACCATTACTATATGATTATCAATTAAGTAAGCTAAAGTTTTTACTTTATTTAATTATATTAATTAATTAATCACTTTTAATTGAATTAAATCATTTTAATTCTTCAAAAAAGGGGAATTTGTTCAATATTTATTCAAAAAACCATGTTTTGGAATCACTGAAGCTTATACTCCACCATTGCATATCAATCCCTATGATCAAAAGAAAGGAAATAACACAACTGTGATACATTCTTTGGTAACAAGACCACGTCTTGCATCAAAGTTTCATAAAACACTATGGTTTTTCTTAGAAAACCTATTTAAAAGGTAATTATTCATCATAAATATCATAGGAGGAATTGTGTCATTTTTACTAATTTTCTATTTTTTTTAAAAAAAATGTTATAAGATTGTATTATAGGTTTCAAACCTCACGTCGTGATCGTAAAGTTTATATAGTCCCATTACGTGATTTTACATTATACCCAGTATACCCTAAATATTTTAAAAACCATAGTCAAAAATTTTCAAAATATTTTCGGCTTCTACTTACTCTTTGTCGAATATCTTTGTGGCCACGCAGAAAAGTTATTAATAATACTAAAGAAATGAGTCCTTTCCTTCGTGTTATTCATGAAGAGAATGAGAAAGGTCATGAAATCTATCAAACACCTACAATTATGGCAGTCTTAGATTTTAAATGGCCAGCTGCCCGTCAATATTTTATTCGTCACATCATTTTGTATTTACTATATGTTATTTCGTTTGTTATAACACTTGGTTCATATTCATCAAAAATAACTTATTTATTTAAAATGGAATCAGATATAATATTAAAAATTAGCCTTTTTGTATATTTTTATACTGGATGGTATTTAATTGTTACAGAAATTGTGCAATTAAAAAGAGAAGGATTGAGCAGATATGTGAATATTTATAATATGTTTGACCTAGGATCATTGTTATTACCGTTAGCAAATATAGCAAGTATTTTATATGATTATCATGTATCCATATTACAAAATTCAGTATATAATTTTGTTTTAGCATTTACAGCTTTAGTTATGTGGCTTCAATTGGTAGGTATTTCTTCTCTCTTTTGGATGAAGGAACAATATTATTATTATTTATAATTATTATTTATAATTATTATTTATTCTCTATTCATTAATATTATTTTTTCAATTTTATTTTTTAGTTATTTCTATCGAGATATTTTGATGGTCCAGGACGTTTCATTCATATCATTCAAACTATTTTAAATATTATTTGGCCAATCTTGGCAGTCATGTTTATTGTCGTAGTTGCATTTGGTCACGCTATGTAATTATAATAATTAATGAATTTTTGTTTTCATTATTTTAAATATCACTAATTTATTTATTTTTTATTACCATCATTTCAGGTTCATTCTTCTAAATTATGCGGATGACTTCCAAATTCCTACTTATAAAATTAAAGATGCTTCGAATTCAGACTTATACTCAAATATAACAATTTATCAGAATATTAATAAATTTTCTCGACTTGATAATTATTATTCACATTTCGTCTCATCAGTAGAAGCTGTATTCTTTTGGACCAATGGACGATGGGATCAATTAGACCAATGGAATAGTTATGCTGTAGATGTAATGAGTGTACTAGGAAGTATAATATTGGTGTTAATTTTTCAAAATATGTTGATTGCATTTATGAAGTATATTATCTATATTACTATAAATTATAAATTGTGTAAATTATGGATTATAAATGTTCTCTAAAGTTGTATAATTTTTATTTCTCTTGATTCTCTTAATTCTATAGTGATGCATTTGAACAAGCAAACAAAAACAGTCGTACAGCAGTTTATAGATATCGTATTGAACTTATCGCTGAATATGAAGCTTTAGAAAAACCTTTTGGTTGTGAAAGAGGTAATCCTCGAGACATTTATTATATCCCTAATCCTGATATGATTGATACCTGGATTACGAAAACTAAAAAGGATGATGAGAAACAAAGACGTCTTATGAGTGAGAATTTAGATGAATTATCAGATTTTGATTATGACAATAATGATAATGACAATGATGATGATAATCAAGGTGATAATAAGAATTTGCATGTGAATAAACGTTTTCAGTTTTCAATCCTAAATTTAATTTAAATTTTATTATAAATTTTAGATAATTCAAAAAAATATCTACATATACAAAATGAAGGTCCTTCAAGTACTATGGATTCTATTAAACCTAGTACAATCAAATATACTGGAACAATTAATAAAATTTCATTTATTGATGAAGAAATTTTTTCGTTAAATAAGAAATCACAAAGAAATTCCAAATCAAACAACAAATTATTAAAGAATGTCAGTAATGAACCTTCCGATCCTACAAATGTTGATGATCAATTATCAATGCAAGAAAGATTTAATAACCTGGAAAGTGAAGTTAAGACAAGATTTAATAACCTGGAAAATGAATTTAAGACAAGATTTGATGAATTAGAACAAAATTTAAAAATTATATTGCAAACTTTAAATAATTCCAAATAGGTGTTCAGAAAAAATTTTTAGATTTAATTTTAATTCGAGTGATTCGTCAAAAAAGAAATAGATTTTATGTGAAATTTTATTTATACTCATTAAAAAAAAAGTGGTATTATCTTATCTTTATTTTTTTCTAAGTTATTCTTATTTATTGAATTTATTTCTTAGTATTAGATCGATTACGTTATAGTAAATGAAAAAATTCTTGATTCGCACATAAATTCACTTTTATTAATTTAATTATCAATATTAATGAAAGAAGAGGAATCAATAAATATAATTTATATTTATATTACTTCCTTATCACAACCACCCAAATTATTTTAAACTTTTTTTAAAATATTTATATCCTTCGGGCAAATTTTATTTAAAAAATTTTTTCCAAACAAAGAAATTACATTTGAATATAACTTTTAATATTATGGACTATTCAATTTATTATTATTGTGATCATGATTTTATTTAATTTATTAATCAATGTTATTTATGATTCAAAAGAGAAAAGCTATTAGAAAAACAATAAATTAAAAACAATATAAGTAGTTGCATAAACAAAATTAAAGAAAACTTTTATTCCATTTATTTATTTATTCCATTCAAAAGACTATCTAAGCACTTAACCAGATCTGTTGTGTCGTAATGTGCTTCTTTGGGCATCCCAACAAGTTTTAAAATGCCATCAACAACAACAAAAAAACGGAATGGCCATGGAGCATATAAGTTTAAGAAATTATTATCCATCGTATCTACCAACACAGGAATTTCCAATTGGGTTGCTGTGACCATTTCATGAGCAGCGGTTAAGCGATCTTCTATTGTGAGATGCTCTTTTACAGATACGACATTACCAATAGGCCAAACATCACTGGCATGTGCTTCCCGAATTTGAATCATATAAAAATCTACTTTGGTTCGATATCGCTTAAATACATCATTGAGCACATGAGATATGCATCGGAATAAAGGACAAGTATATGAACCACCAAGAAGAACGAGAGGACGTCTTGGTTGACAAAGTGATCGCAAAGAAATTGTGCGATTATAACCTATCTTGTCTCGAGAAGATTCTAAGAGAATTAATGGGCAATCAGGTGCTGACATTCCTTCTGTAAGATCTCCAAGACGAGCAATGTTATTACGAACATATAATTGTGTAGTTCGAAATTTGGGATCGTCTAAAAAACAATTTAGCATAAATATATATATATATATACTGCATATATAAATATAAATTTATAAAATTGGAAAACGTGATAGAAATGAATTCGCGTTACCTGGATAAAGCTGTGGAGCACGTCGCAATATTTGCACCGCCTCATCCGAATAACCAAATTCTCTAACCAAATCATGTTGCATCTGGTCAGTGACATCCATCCAGTCTTTGCCGCATGTAGGATCGGTTCCAACCTTATGGTATTGTTTTTGTATTTCAGGTGATAATCTTCTCCGTTCCTCCTCACGTAACAGGGCTAATAATTTCTCTTTTGTAGTTGGAAGTTTTGGAGAGGTAAGTTCAGGTTGAGTAAGTGATGGTAATTCATTGAAATCTCGACGACCACTGGTTTCTTGAAACATTCCACCACGTAATCTAAGCGCAAGGTGGAGTGTGTATTCTTTTTGAATGTTATAATCGGATAAGGTGCGACCATTTTCCAATTCTCTTCCAGCAAAAAAGAGTCTTTGATGGTCTGAGATGATATTTTCTTTATCTTGAATTTTAATTTTAACTAGATCTGTGGTATCGCTCGATTCTACCTCTAAGGTAACGGTTTTTCCAGTCAATGTTTTGATAAAAAGCTGCATTTTTAAATTTCAAATATTTCGCAAAAACAAGAGTAAATAAATCAAATCCGTCAATTCCGTTCAAATTTAAATAACTCGTTAATGAAAATAGTAACACCGGGGTTATTTTTAAAAATCCGACGGAAAGTAAATATATTTATCCGAAATTTGTCATTGTGCTACATTTAATTTTTTTCAGGATCAATTTGTTCCTTTGACGATCACCATTTCGTTGCCCATAAAATTGTGATTTTCATTTTTTTTTTTTTGGATTTTTAATAAAATATAGTTCGTCATAAATAAAAAAATTTTTTTTTTCTCACGCGATGTGTATTGTTCTTTATAGATAGAATGATGAGGTTGCATTTTACAATCAGTGCAACTTAATGAACTTCTCACCGAAATTCTATAAAGGAATCAGCGTAAATAAATGAATAAATGAATTGTTATTAAAAAAAAATAGAAAAAGTACGCGAACTATATTTAATTTAAAATGGAATATCGACTTTTCTCTAAAAAGAATCGAAAAATGATATTCTTATCTTCTTGAAATTTGCAAGCCAATAAATTATAAAAAATACAAATTCCGCTTGAAGTAAATTTTTGGTTTTTAAAATTTAATTCTATTCAATGTGATGATAAAAAAAAATGCGAGAAAAAGGTTTATTTTTGAGCTATATGAAAATTTATAAAAAATTTATCTAATTTAAATTCATATTGATTATTTTCAAAATATGGAGTTTTGTTTTACCGATCCATGATGAAATTTTTAGTGCTTGTTCTTTGGTGATAATATTGGTAGAAAAAGGAATTCTAGTTGGAAATGTTGGCCTTAAAATCTTTGAGGTAGTAACACATTCGAAGAAATTGACTTAGTCGGTGTAGAAAATTTATAGTGATGGTTCTTTGTCTTGAGTTTCCTCTTCGCTGGTAAGCATCACAAGATTTGACATTTTTCTTTATGTCTTCTTCCATTTGAGGCCAAAAATATCAGAAAGGAGCTCTTTGGTGAGTAATAGTGGTGTTAAAATGTCTGGAGAAAGGATGGAATGCATAGAAATAAAATGTCTCTCTTTTGCTTGTTTTAATTTTGCAAGTTAGATGCTATGAGTCTTGTATTAATATCTAAAAAAATTGGTGTTCAGGAAGATATTGATATGGATAAATCTTTTTAACTACATCTTCTCCAGAAATACCTAACGTGTGAGAGACATTTTTGCAAAGTTTCTTTTAAGGTTATAAAATCGGCACTAGTCCATTCATCGAGGCTAGTAAGTAAATTAGATTTTCTCCATTGAACTTGAACTATATATTCCCAAATTTTATCTTCTTCTAATTGTAAGTCATCTCTCTTAAGAATAGTGATTAGCATATCTTCCGGGGGAATGAAAATTTTCAGATTCGAAAATAGTATTAGGATACTTGGCAATGATATCATCACAATCTTGAATAATTTAAAGCTTTTGACTTGATAACTTATTCGTTAAACTTGAGCAAAGTTCAGCCTTAACCACGAGACATTATTATTGACAAAATTAGTTGAATATGTTCAACTGATTCATCCAATTCAAGTTCATTAGAAGCAATTAAAAGGTCAAAAATGAACGAATTCTCCAGTTTTTCTAACAAAATCTTTCCACAATAAATATATCCAAATTATGAATTTTATTTAATTATTATAAAATAGTAATTAAATAATTTAAAAAAAATTTACTATTTTATTTTCTAAAAAATTATGTTTCATTTGAACTTACTTGATAATAATATTAAATACTTTAACAGAAATATTTGGCAACTTTATTACTTTGACATGATTTCCATTGAGAGTAATTTCGTCGAATTTCTTTTTAAAATAAGGACTATGGTATTGCAAAATAATTGAATGAACCTTGACTTCTTCACAAACTCAATTGAGGCATCACAATTAACACCACTTTCAAGAAGTCGAGTAAGGTCATTCGATAGACGGTCAGAATTGGACAGTCATTTTTTTTTTTTGCAGAATAAGTAAAAATACACCTTGTGTATATCATTATTATTAGATCGTCCAATCATTTATTGAGAATCTTTGTACATGGTGCATTTTTTTAAAGTAATAACGTTATTGATCGGCAATTTATTAAAAACAAGAAAAATGCGCATTGTCTAAGAACCCTCTTCTGGAAGAATATAATATTAAATTTATTTGAAAAAAATGTAATAATGAAAAGATAATGAATTATATAAAAATTGATATAAAAAAAAAAATTGGATATATTTGTAAAGCAAAATAATGATTAATTCGTGTTTCGCTAGAAACGGAAAGGATTTATAATAGATTTCGGGGGCAACTTTTCACAATTATATATAAAAATAAATTTTTAAATCGCTAAAGGAAAAGGCATATCTCTTTATTTTCTTGATACTGTCATTTGAAACTAAAAATATATTTAAAGCAGAACCATTACTTTTTATGATTTTAATGGGGAAAGTGACTTTTAGAAAATAGTTCTTGTGATATTCTTATTCCGGAACGAGATTATGGTTCTTTTATCGCGAATCACGAATTAAAACATATTCGATATTAAAATAATTTTGAGATTAAAAAAAGAAATAGTAAAGCTCGAATTTATTAATAATGAACCTATTAGCGAGCACAATCCCATTCTAATATATTCTTATTTAAGATGCCTTATTTTGAAACTTTTACAGAAAAAAATTGAAATTATTTTCTTTGTGAAATTTTGAAAACCTCATATTCTTCAACTGAAAATAAAGATTTTTCAGAAGGTGGAAACAAAGTGGGTGATATAAATTCACTTGAACGGATTGCTTTATGATACTCTACGCTCTTCATGCAAAAACAGCCTTTCTCGATTTTCAAATTACCATTTAAATATAAAGCACGGCCAAAACTTAACCCCAATTCACTTGGCAAATTTCTAATAGAAGATCTATAATCAAATGCTTTACTTAAAATGGAATTTTTCATATTTGTAGTCTTTAATGAAAATATGAAACTATCTTTGGTCCTTTTCCATTGATCATTATTATTTTCCCACTCGAGAGGATTATATCCTCCAAGAAGTTCTCCAGTATCTTTAACTTTCAAAATAATAATTGTTTTCGATACTTTATCACATAAATTATAAATAGTTTCAACATCAAATCCGTCTCTAGATCCTCTAACAAGTAATTTAAATTCATATGGATTGTTTTCAGTATATGGGATTTCTTTTCCATCAATCCATGATGAAATTTCTAGTGCATGTTCATTAGTGATAATGCTAGAGGACAAAGGAATTGGAGTAATTCTAGTCGGAAGTGTCGTATTTAAAATATTTCGAGGTGGCAACATAACCGAAGAAATTGGCTTGTTCGGTGTAATAAATTTTATAGTGATATCTGAAAAAAGTCGTTGCTCAAGAAGTTGTTGATATGGATAAATCTTTTCGACTACATCTTCCCCGGAAATGTTAAAATACCTAATGTGTTGGAGACATGGATTCAAAATTTCTTTCAAGGATGAGAAATTAACACTTGTCCATTCACCGACATTAGTAGGTAACGTGGGATTTTTTGCTTTTCCCCATTCAATTACATATTCCCAAATCTTGCCTTCTTCTAATTGTAAGTCATCTCTCTTAAGAATAGAAATTAATACATCTTCAGGGAGAGAATGAAAATTCTCAGATTCGAAAATAACATTAGGATACTTAGTAATGATATCGTCACAGAAGTCTCGAATAATTTTAAAGTTTTTGACTTGATAATTTCGATAAACTCGAGCAAAGTTCAGTCTTAACCATGAAGCATTATTACTGACAAAATTAGTTTGGATATATTCAACTAATTCATCTAATTCAAGTTCATTAGAAGCAACTAATAGGTCAAAAATGATCGAATTTTCCAAATTTTCAAATAAAATTTTTCCACTATAAATATATCTGAACAATATATGAATTTATATTTATTATAAATTTTAATTAATAAATTTATCATTATTATTTCTAAAAATATAATGTTTGAACTTACTTGATAATAATATTAAATACATTAACAGAAATATTTGATAACTTTAATACTTTGACATAATTATCATTGAAAGTAATTTCGTCGAATTTCTTTTTAAAGTAAGGACTACGGGATTGCAAAATAATTGAATGAACCTTAAAAATATTGACTTCTTCGTTACCAACTTCAATTGAGACATCACAGTTAACACCACTTTCAAGAAGTTGAGTTAGGTCGTTTGATAGACGGTCATAAAATTGTGTAGTCATTTTTTCTCAAATAAGAATAAGTACAAAATACGTAATTTAATCATTATACACAATGCACATAATGATTAAATCATCCAATCATTTATTGAGAAAAATTCATATGGTAATTTATTAATTTTTCTTAATTAATTTATTTATACAAAATAAAGAAGTTGGATCTTATTTAAAGATATTAAAAAAGCTTTTAACTCGAAATATTAATCCTCGCACAACAAACTTAATATGTATTTTAAACAAATTCTTGAGAACAGAGAAGATGACAAGTCACAAGATGGGATGAGATGAATTGCATGATAAATTTATGCATGATAAATTTATACATGATAATATTTTACATAAAATATTGTATATTAAATTTCAGTCAAATATTCACCGTGAGAATAAATATTTTTAATATAAATCTCTCTCTCTTTTATTTTATGGTTAAATTTAGTTAGTTTTGTATTGGTCTAAAATCACTTTGTTATTTTCATAATATGATATATGTATGTAAATACACGCCTAAAAATTCCTGATGATGTTATCAGAAAATGAACTTTGTGAGGGTAATATTAGATTGGAATGACAAATAACCAAGTCAACATACCATTAGGTCATTTATCATCACTGCTTCAACAATTGTCGCTTCTGATATAATAATAATAATAAACAACATAATAACCAATTTCATAACTTTACATATCAATCAATAATATTAATGATGATTTCTAAATGTTACAAAATTTGATGTGGATTTTCCGCTCCCGAAATTTTATTGCCTTAAAAATCATTATTCACTTTAATATTTTCAAGGAATGTAATTCATTTGATGACATCAAAGAAGTCATTTGAATATGTTTTGAATAGATGATTACGAAAGATGAAGTATAAATGATATTTTAGTTATATAATTTATAAATTAGAATTCATTAATTTTAATTATATCATTATTAAATATTCATTTTTTTCATTTAATCATTTATCTTATTTCATTTAAATAAATAAAGTTTACAATTTTTTATTTCTCATTAAATATAAATAATATCAATCCTTCAAAATTAAAAATTATCTGAAATCATTTTATTTCTCATTTAAATTTCTTACTTTTTATTTAAAATTTAGAACATAACGATGATAATTTAATACTTACTATTTTATGTTATTGCACGATAAAAAGAGAATACATTTCTTGGTAAATTTCAAAATCTCATATTCCTCAACTGAAAATAAAGTTATAAACAATTCATGACGATAATTTTTGAGAAAAAATTTGTCGAGAATACAGAGCATCATTAACATAAATTGTTTAAATTGGATAAAATTAAAGTAAACTGTAATTTATTAATTAAACGAGTATTATTATTTATAATTGTTATACTGTATGTAATGATAGAAATTAAAAGTCTTTATATAACCATATCTTAAACTTATTTTGAGCGGGACACTGAAGAGGTTAATGTTTCCTTATCATTGATATTCGTATCAAAATTTAATTCCTTGCGATGATTTTTTACTAATAATATCTTCTTCGCCATCATTATCATTATGTTCAAGTAAATAAATTGAAATAATTCACAATACGTATCCCATTACAACCGAAAATGAAAATAATAATGTTGTTGTTGATCAAACACGTAATCTGCCATATTTGAATCGAAAAAATCGTGATAAATAATGCACATTTCACTCGAAATACATTATCCTCTAATTTTTCATATAAAATTGCTAATAGAGTTAATCCATCATTATCGTTAACGATCTTCATCACTACCTTATTTCCACGAACATTACTTGATAAGGCATATGAAAGGCGTGATAAACCTTTTAAATTCTCTCTCATCAGAAAAATGAAATTATATCAAAGACGAGGAATGAGATTCATTCTTAATGAATAACTTTGAGGCAATGGATTATTCTATAAATAAATGTGGTTAATAGAAATAAATTAAATTAAATAAAAATAAAATAGAAATAAAATAAAAAATAAAATAAAAATAAAATTTTGCGTTATTTATGTTTTAAAAAAATAATTTTTGTCCACTGTCCCTTGACAATATTGCCTCGAGGTATTTCTTGTCCTTCAATTATTCCTTTAAACTCCTCAAATGATTTAGAATAACCATTACCACTATTGTCACAGATTTATGTGGGCAGTAACCGAACTTGGGTAAGAAGTGACATTACATTATTAAACAATAAGTTTTAAAGTCTAGATTTTTGTTTAAACAATAATGATGTGAATTTAATTTTTGAATTTTCTTCAAATTGTGAAAATTCAATATTAACAAATGATAACAATAACTCAATAAATACCACGATTACATAACATAATATGTAGAGCCATGTTGGCTTCACGTATATGAACTTTGTGGTTATTGTTTTTGGCATTTTTTTTTCGCGAAAAGGAAAGGAAAAAAATAGGGTAAAGATTCTGATTTCAGAAAATCTTTAGGTGTCGAACAACAATAGCATTATATTTGATAATAGTATTGATAGTAGTAGTATAGCATGATTCTAGATAGATAAGACTTATATTAATTATTACCACCAAATTTTATTCCTTGTTTTAACTTGGAACAATACAATAGCATTTCGAAAGGGAACTATAGATTCTAAACGATTCAATCGTAAATGATTATTATTACAATAATATGATGATATCGTTACTTTGCTATTTTACATACAATAGTTATTATTTAATACAATAATTATTATTTAATGAATCATTGCTAAATTTGTCTCTCACTATCATTATTATTATTGTTGTTTTATTTTTTTTATTCTCAAATATGGTAAAAAACTTAAAAACTATAACATTTGTATTTACTTAACCTTACCTTATTCTTCCTTCTTATTTTAAAAAAATCATAAGTATTATTTTAAAAGATATTAATCAATTGAATTGTATGCAAATTTTCACCTGCGTTAAGATACATAATCTTGAAGATTTTTCGAAAAAAAGAATCGAATAAAACCCGTTAAATGTTTTTATTTCAAACTTTAAATTGGATAAATTGATAAGTGTAGATTGTATTAATTATTATTATTGTTTATAATCGTTATGTGATGATATAAGAATAATGACAAAGATGATGATAGAATTAAAGAATGATATTCATTCTTAGCGCATAACTTTGAGCCAATAGATTATTCTATAAATAAATATTATTAATAGAAATAAATAAAATAAATAAAAAATAAATAATAAACATAATTTAATAAAAAATATAAATTATAAAAATTAATAATAATTAAATAATAAATAATAAAAAATCATTATCGGAATCGCTGCACCAATAACTAAAGCAGTTTTCTTATTAACTTCATTTGAATCATGATTTAAAAGTGAAATAATAAATTCCAATCCATCACTTTTAGATAATTTAATACCAAAATCCAGGTTCATTGATAGTTTCTTCTAATCCGGTAATATCTTTGTTAAAGATTGTTGCGATGATGATGATGATTGAGAAAAATATTATCAAAGAGTAAAAGATCCGATTGTGAAATAAGATTCTTTTCTTTATGTCGTTGTGGTGATGGCAATGGTTGGAGTTGTGGTATCTTTTGAATAATTGGTAATGAATAATTATAATTCATATTCTTCGTTCGATTTCCATACCTATCTCTATTCTCATTATTGTTATATTATTATTATTATCAAGATTCAATGTATCATGTTATTAATTAATGATTCTTTTAATAATTCTTGTAATAATTCTTTGTTGATATATCGCAATAACTTTGGAAAATGTTTCATCATCATCACCCTCCTCAAAAGAACAACTTCCGATAATAATATTGAATCATTGGGATTCAAAAGAGCTAAAGATATTATGTAATAAATAATCAAACATAATAAATAATTAATCATAATGTATTATAAATATGATTTACAAGTGTCGATGTACCCCGAGATATTTTTTGTCTTTCAAATATTTCTTTAAACTCTTCAGTTGCTTAGAACAATTACAACCGTTGTCACGGATTTCTGCGGTGACAATACAAATTAATAAATAAATTAATATATAAATTAATAGAACCATAAGTTTTGGATGTCATGCGGATTTTTTTTTTTGTTTACTAATAATGATTTTAATTATATTAATCAAATTTCTTTGAATTGTCGTCGGGACAAAAAAAAAAACGGGAATCAAAAAATCATGTTCAATTTTATTACAAATCACATGATATTTAAAAGCTAACTTTATTAATAAAAATTATTTAAAATACGGAAATTGATTTTAAAACGGTTGTGAAACATTCACAAGATCATTCAGATTTCACTTCTCTATGTATCATTATTCATAAGACGTTTTTTATTTAAAACAGACACATCGTGGGAATTTATTGTGATTGGAAAGGCGTAAGTAAGCACAAAGGTTGTCATACGTAGCCATAAAAGTAGTAATCATTATTTGTTAAGGTGGTACGGATCTGATCTTTTATAACTCAATTATTAAGGTCTTTAGGCGTCAGATCAATGTTATAATTTAAGTGTGACACAATATATTTGTTCCAAGAAATTATTCACATATATTAAAACGTCGATTGTGCAGTCATTTCACTAATAATAAAAAATGATTTTTAAATTTTTTAAATTTTTTGATAAATTATCCCAAGATTTTTCACAACTTCTTGATGACAAAAAAGACTATAATGTCATCATCGAAGTTGATAAAGAAAAAAATAAGAAAACTTTTACTGCACATTCAGTTGTCTTACGTTATCGTTCATCCTACTTTGAGAAAGAATTAGAGAATGCTACTACGAATAAAAATCACTTCAAAACTATTATTAAACCCAATCTTTCTTCTCAAATATTTGAAATTATTCTTAAGTAAAAAAGAAAAAATAAATAATTTTTACATTAAATATTAAATTAATTATATTGTGGTTCGATATTAATATAATAAATGTATTTTTATTTTAGATATATCTATGGCGGAATTGTCGATATTGAAAATACGGATACCGAAACCGTTTATCAATTAATGGTCAGTGCTAATGAATTAGAACTTAAAGAACTATCAGATGAATTAGAAAGATTCCTTATTGAATCCAAGTCTTCTTGGTTAAGAACTCATTTTTCCTTCGTTTATCATTCGATCTTTGATAATAATGAATTTCAAGGTTTGAAAAAATTCTATAATGATATTATTGTAAAACAACCAAAATTGATTTTTGAAGCCAAAGATTTAACTTCGCTTCGAGAAACGGCATTGATTTCTATTTTAAAAAGAGATGACTTGAAAGTTAAAGAAATTAAAGTTTGGGATTACGTTATTAAATGGGGAATCGCACAAAATCCTACTTTACCCACTGATTTGGAAGAATGGTCTAATAAAAATTTTAAGGCTTTGAAAATAACTCTACGACAATGTTTACCGCTTATCCGATATTTCCATATTTCTAGTGAAGATATTTGGGAGACTGTGAAACCCTACGAAAAAATCCTCGAAAAACAGCTCTGGGATGACATAATCCAACGTCAGATGTTCCCAAATAAACCTGTTAAATCACTTGTTCTGCCAGCAAGAATCATTGAATTACCTTCAAGAACTATTTCAACCTCCAAATTTCCATTATCAACTATAATTAACAAAGAACATGTTGCAGTACTTTCATCATGGATTGATCGAAAATCAACTACTTATTCTTTGGAAAATATACCTTACGAATTTCAATTAATTCTTCGAGGAAGTAGAAATGGTTTTCGTCCCGAAACATTTTGGGAGATGTGTAATGGACATGCTGGTACAATTCTGGTTTTAAAAATTGCGGGAACTGGTGAAATAGTCGGTGGTTATAATTCTTTAGCTTGGGATAATTCAATAAGGGGTGCTCAGATGAAAACAAACGATAGCTTCATTTTTTCATTGAAAAATGGGAATATTCAAAATTTAATTCTCAGCCGAGTTGTAGATAGTAGTGGAGCTCTATATTATCATCGGTCTCATAATACGCATGGTCCAATGTTTGGTAATTTTGAACTTATGATGAGTTCAAATGTTTCTGAATTTTCTCAAGATAAATTATGTTGTTGTTGTCATGATCCGAATTATAAAACCTTTTATGAAAAACCTATTAGAACTACTAATGAATATTTTTCTATTGTAGATTATGAAGTATTTAAGATTATTAAAAAACCAATTCAAACCTTGTACAATTAGATAATATAATCTCATTATTTAATAGTTTATATAAATATTTTTTATTATTATATTTTGTATTTTAATAACAAAATCTATTTATTATATAAATAATTATTTAATTAAAATTGAAAATTACACCGTGAATATATATCATTTCATCATCTCGATATTGATCTTAGAGTTGGTAGTTAGTCGAAAATTTTATTTTGACAAATGCTTAGGCAAATTACAATCGAAATATATTTTTGACAATGGCTCTAATAAAATGTCTAAATGTTTTCAAAATTTCTAAATGTTGTCGAAATGTCTAAATATGATTTTATATATGATATATAATATATTCTTTTTTTTAATACAAATTTATCATGTTACATCTTGTTATAATTATAAAAGATTTATGTTAATAAAAAATCGTGGGAATTTAGGTGCTACAATAATTGCCTTTTTATCTAGCTTGTTTAATTAAGTGATACAATTGCCTTTTATTTATCAGTTTTTATTTAATTATTATTACTTGATATGATACAGTACAATCTATCAAAATAATCACATCGCGTAATTATTTTATAATTATAATAAAGAAAATTTCATATAAAATTCTTGCTTATTTTTTTTTTGTCATTTTCTTCTCACTTTCGAAAATTTCCAAAATTTCTTTTTTACTTGAAACTTACTTTTTTTTTTAAAAGACCTTTAATAAATTAAATATAACAAGAACTTGTAACTATGATAAAAATTTATAACCATAACTTAACATTTTCACATAATATAGAATTTGTTTACCAATGTAAAGTATCAATTGTTGAAATATAATATAAAAGCTAATATTATAGGTATGAAAATATGCCATTGGCTATCTTGCTAAAAACCAAGTAATTTTTTGAAAAGGTGAATTTGAAAAAAATGTAATTTAATAATTTGAATACTCTTAAAGATAGTTGTCATCTAATGACTATAAAAAGATGAAATTTAATTCATTAGATTCGTCTCATCAAGGCGCATATTTTTTATGCAGCTTCAGATTCTATATTACCAATAAAAATAAATATACACTTATCATCATTATATGAGCTTTTGCAGTGGATCACGAATTAAGTCATTGACTTATTTACACTTCGATTTAACATGCATGTTAGAAGCCAATAGATTTTTCAAATATATAATCTTAGCTTTATTGTGTAATTTTTCCAAACAAATATTTCATAGGATTTTTGGCGATAGAACTCAATAATTTAAATTCTTTGTCTGTGAGTTTCTTTTCATCAAATATGGTGGAGAGATGATTGATTTCTTGATGGGTCTTCACTTTTACAGATGTAAAAGTTGAAGAGCATAGGTTTCCTTACTATGTTTATAAAAGAACCATTGTACAGGTTATCCGAAGAAAAGATCTTGGAGCATAATATCTCACAAAGCTTCTGAAATATGGAAAATGATAAAGAAGATATTTTTTTTTGAATTTCTATATTTAGAATCTGCTTAATTAACATTATTTTATTTATTAAACTCAAGTATTATATTTTCTATATTTGCTTACTTTTTAACTTATCATTACATGTTCGTTTTTTAAATTTTAAAGAGTTTATTTTATTTTTATAAGTTTCGGATATTGAATATAAGCTCACAGCTTATTCAAATAAGCTCATGGCTTTCAACATGAAATTAGATAACAGCTTATTCAGCATGCAATGAGATAAGCTCACAGCATATCTAAGATATGCTCGTTCCATTATTTATAAAAACTTAGCATATAAAATTTTATTTCTATGACTTCACATATAATTTACAAAACTTAGAGCAATTTTTTACTAAGGTATTTCTATGATAAATAAAAAGATCATGTTCTTAATTACAAAATGATATACGTTATATCTTTGTAGCTTCAATATTCATCAAGTTATTAAAGTTCAAATTCAAAGTATTAAAAAAATATCTGAAATCTTTTTATAATTATTACATGATAAACTTTTATTTATTAATTAATACTAAAACTACTACTAATTAAAAATAAAGATATAGATGAAATATGTCTTTTGTAAAAGTTTCAAACGCTTTATGCAAAAAATTAAGCATTAAATATATGAAATTATAAGAAAAGTATATATTTAATTACTAATTTTAATGTAATAAGTTTAAAAATTTATCAACAGATGTATTTATTAATATCTTTATATTTACTTAACAGCAGTTTCAATGTTGTAAATTAAAAAAAAAGTTTTTTATATAGCAACTAATATAGTAATAATAGAAAAGAATTTAAAAGTTTAAAAACATCTGTATAATTATTTAAAGCATTTTTTAAAAAAAAATTTCTATTATTATTATATTAGTTGCTACATAATAAGCTTTTTTATTTAATAATATAACATTGAAACTGCTGTTAAGTAAACATAATGATATTAAAAAAATAGATCTTTTGATAAATTTTCAAACTTAGTACACTAAAATTAATTAAATATATCATTTATTTAATGCTTAATTTTAGCATAAAGTGCTTGAACTTTTACAAAAGAAATATTTTATCTATATCTTTTATTTTTATTTAGTAGTAGTTTTAGTACTAAATTATTAAATAAAAAAGTTTATTACATAGTAATAATAAAAAGATTTCAAATATTTTTGTAATACTTGACTTTAAACTTGATGAATATTGATGCTACAAAGATAAAACGTATATCATTTTATAACCAAGAACAAGATATTTCCATTTATCTTTGAAATACCTTAGTAAAAAAGTGCTCTAAGTTTTGTAAATATAAGTGAAGTCATAGAAATATAATTTTATATACAAAAGTTTTTATAAATAATGAAATGAGAATATCTTAGATATGCTATGAGCTTATCTAATTACATGTTGAATAAGTCATGAGCTTATTTGAATAAGTCGTAAGCTTATTTGAATAAGCTGTGAGCTTATTTCATTACATGTTGAATAAGCTGTTGAGTTTATCTAATTACATGTTGAATAAGTTGTAAGCTTATCCAGAATTATAATTGAATAAGCTTATCCATAATTATATGTGAATAAGCTTATCCAGAATTATATATCGATAAGCTTGTCCACAATTTATATGTGGATAAGCTTATCCATAATTATATATCGATAAGCTTGTCCAGGAATATTCATGCAAATATCCTGATAGAAAAGATTCTAATGTTCTGTGGCATCACATTTTGGTAGATCAAAAATTTTAAATGATTATGATAATAGACAATTAGTAAAAATAGTTAAGGATAACGATAATAAAAAACATTAGAAGAAATAACTGAAAGAATACAGTATTGAATATTCAATATAAAGTTGAATGATTGAATAACTAAAACCTACATATTTAAAATCAATTTGAGTCAAAGAAAATTGAAAGATAATCTTTTTTAAAAAAGTTTAAATCCAAGAAATTAAATAAT